TAAACTCAATTTATATTTTTGAATATGCTGATGCACTTTTATCTGTGTTGTATTCATCATCCTAAATACTTGAAAATGCATCTTTCCAAAAATAAATCCATCTTCTGATGTAGCAGACTAGTAACCTCATACCTAGTGGTTTTAGTAATGATTCCCCAATACCATCTAATACTGGGTCTGCATTCTCATTTCCCTAGTTATCCCAAACAGGTCCAACCCAGGCCTCTCATCGCACCTGGTGGTTTTGTTGCTTCATCTCCTTTAATTGAGAGCAACTTTATTTTCCATGGTGCAGGTGTGTGGACTGGACCTAGTGCCTGCTGTTTAAGCTGTTTGTTCAGGGAAGACACAATAAGATCGAAGGAGAACAATACATTCAGAGGAAGTAGGGAGGACTTCCATGCAGGCTGGCAGGCTGTGGTCCCGTTGTGAATCATGGGGTGGTAAGGACAGTCCACGCTCTCCTGTGAAAGGTGAAGTTGGTTACCAATTAAGTGTGTCCAAAACAGGTGCTTTAAGGCTGGGGCTTCTAGGTTGGGTGCGGTGGCTCACATCTGTAATTCCATCACTCTGGGAAGTGAAGGCGGGAGGATCCCTTGAGCTCAGGAGTTCAGGACCAGCTGAACAAGAGTAGACCCCATTTCTACTTAAAAAAAAAAAATAGCTGGGTGTGAATGGAATGGGAATGAGATTCTGAAGACATGTGTTCCTGTTCTGGTCAAGGTAGGGATTTCCCATAGTTTAAATATTAGTGATGCTCAGAGGTCAGTCAAAAAGTAAGTCCCTTGGTCTGCATGGATGCCACTGTCTTGTAGGCCCAGAACTGGATTCCCAGGCCCCTGGGTCTAGCCAGTCTCTCTGCCAGTGAGTGTCCAGACCTTCCTGGTCTCATCTGTCCCTGAGGCAGATGTCCTCTCCATGCTCAGGACCTCTGGCCTCTATGGAAACGCTCTCCATCAGTTTTCCTGCATCTCACTTCTTTCTTCCACAGTATCCGTTATTATGCTTTCCTCTGTTTATTTTTACACCCATATGGCTTGATATATGGCTTGTGTATATTTTTATTTCTCAAAGGCAAGATCTAGTTCCTAAACGATGCCAGCTGCAGTTCAGCTTCCCGAGAAGCAGTTCTGCAAAGTGGAGCAGAACACAGGGACTGTGACAGATGTATTTTCAGTTTTGACAACGGGGTTGACTGTCCGGCATCTCCATCTCAGTGACTCGGAAGGGAGCTGAAACAGTCATCTGAGCTTCATTTTTATCTCTAAAATGAGTTATTGACCTGTATGGATGTAGGTGATTTTTCTCTCCAGGGAATTAAAGGGCTTTTTTTTCTCTCAGCGATTATTTTGTATTCTAGAAAATAAGTGTTTTCCATGGTTATCTGTGGTTCACTTTTAACAGGAGACCTTGGGGCACAGTGCCCTTTAGTTTTGAGAAGGTGCAAGGTGTTTGTAGGTCTGGGAGTCATGTTGTCCTCCCCTCTGACTCATCCCCCTTTGCAGTGGTGAGGGTTGCAGAGGCTGATGTCTCACAGTAGTAGGGCTCTGCCCTCCCAGGACCCGCCTCCTGCCCCCAGTGGCCACACAGTGCTTACAAGGAGCAGTGGGGACATTTTAGAAAGTCCATTTGTATCTTATTGTGAATGCTTGTTCTTTTATCCCCGGTTCCTGCATGCTTTGGTATTTGTTATATTTCATTACGTGGTATTGTTTCTACTGAAAATAAGATATTAAAAATAAGCTATAAAACATTTAATATTATGAACTTTTTAGCAGAAAACTATTAGGATAATTTTATTTCAGGACTGTGGGATCATTTTTCCACATTTGATTCATTTAAAGGTGGTGAAAGTAAGGGTGAGCGTAATACGCTGTCCCAGACGAATAGATTGTAAAATGTACTGGGTGTTGAGTGTGTCTGTGCAGCCATCCTCTCTCCAGCATGGAGCTTGTAGGCGGTGTTCACAGGCGATGGGTGCGTGTGCTGCTGGGAGGGGGGGCGGGCACGTCTCATCCTCAGCTACACATCAGACTCCCATGGACAGGGTTAAAATTCTTGTTTTGAGTCTCTCCCTGAAAGATTTTGAGAGGTGGCTTCAGTATCTAGTCTAGACAGTCCCCAGGAGTACTCCCGTGCAGTCTCTACTGAGAACCTCTGTTGCAGGTGCCACCTGGAGTGGGCTTGGGGACAGTGCGTGGTGGTGGTCGCTTCCTTCCCTCCCATGCTCTCTCCAGGAGTGGAAATCTGCTGCCCTCCAGAGGGCCAGTGTTTTAGGCCAGCACTGAGCAGTCCTGGGGAGCAATCTGGTTTGTTAACAATCGTTAAATGTCACAATCCTTACTTTTTGCAGAGATTTCTATCAAAGTTTTGAGATTTCCCTCCTACTCCTGTAGTGTAGACTTCTTCTACTGAGGCTTTTCTGTTTTGCTTTGATTCCTATTTCAGGAAATTGTCTGCTACCTTCCTCTGGAGCAGTACTGTGGTCACAACATTTTCATTGGCTTAGAACATGCATTTTCCCCTCTCAGTGGCAAGCGTTTGTCTCATCTCATTGTTTTATTTCCTGTCCAGAAATGGGGGTGGGGGTCGCTGTAGTTCTGATGTCATATTGAATCCCCATTGGTGAGCACTTGTGGCCAATCAGATGCTTCCTGGTGTCCAAGTAAGAAAGATATATAGCTCTGGAATAACAGGAAGCTTCGCGTTTTCAGCATCCTGTTATTCTGGGTTTGTGAATACAGACTGCTTTGCCACAATGAAGGTTAGTAGAAATTTATATTCTTATTTCTTTCTATAGACTACCATCCAATTTCAAACTCTAGAATGACATCTTTAAAACTTAAAAGACATTCAGATAGATCACCTACTTAAGTATTTTACATTAAGGGAACTTTTGTACTTTGCCTAAAGGAAGCAGAGGTATATTAAAGTTAATTTAATTTATTTTCTCTTTTGAGACAGAGTATCACTATGTCGCCTTGGGTGGAGCACTTGATATTCACAGCTCAGGGCAACCTCAGACTCTTGGGCTTAAGCAGTTCTGTTGCCTCAGCCTCCCAAGTAGCTGGGATTACAGGCGCCCGCCACAGTGCCTGGCTATTTTTTTGTTGTTGTTGTGGTTGTCATTGTTTTAGTAGGCCTGGGCCAGGTTTGAATCTGCTAGCCTGGGTATATGTGGCTGGCACCCTATCCATTGAGCTACGGGTGTCGCCAGTACTTTTAATGTTTTTAAAAAAATGCAGCTCAACTATATCATTTAAAAGTGTGGAATGATCTGCCATCTTAGATAATACTCTTATTTGAGTTGGATTTATTACGGCAAATGAGTCAAATACTGTGTGCTTGGGAGTATTTTTTACAGGAAGGATCTTGCTTTATGTGTATTTTATATTAGAAATAGCATCAACAAACATGTAGAATGCTTACATATAGTCGCATCTTTTAAGTTTTATATTTCCATTTAATATTTTTCCGTGAACTTCAAAAAAGTAAACTTTTTTTTTAGGTACTTTCTTGATTCTTAGTGATTTGATGATTTTTCTTCTTGAGGTAGTTTTTCAACTTCTGGATTTTATATATGTATAAATATATCTCATGACTATTCTTACTCATTATTTGAAAAATAGGCAAATTCATTTAATGGAGACGATTTTGGAAGAACACACAGGACTTCTTCAAACTTGGGGATTGTTTTTTTTTTAGTGTCTCTTGAAGTGAGCGTCATGGTGACGTTCACACCCCCAGAGAGGATGGTTGGCTGGTCTGGTGTGTTCTTCATTGACTAGGTGTTGGGAGGGGCTCTGTGTGCCTTTGTGTGTCCTCAGTGTAGGGGGACGCACAGACATCAGCCAGAGCAGTACAGTAGGTCATGATAAATGTCCTGGGGACCTGAGCAGGTCTGGGTGCAGCAGGGCTTCTGGGAAGGGCTCGCCAGGAAGCGGGATGAGTAAGCGGTAGTCACCAGGACAGGGTAGGGGCAGGAAGAGAAGGCGGAGGGAGTTCCTGGGGGCCTCTGGGGAGAGGGGCACAGGATGAAGGCAGAGGTGACAGACCTGGAGAGCAGAGAGCCCTCACTATCTCAGTAGGGAAAGCATGTTAACATGGTGCACATTTTGGTGTCTACATATGTCTTGGTTATTTGCACTTCTGGAAGAAATGTTCTCCCAGTATTTCTGGGGCAGAGTTGTTGATGATTTGACTGTTAAGTTTGTTTTTGCTCAGAGTTGTTTGGTGATCAGAAGCTCTGTGTAGTCTTAGGGCAGTATCTGAGGTGAGAGCCACATGTGTTGGACACATCTGTGTGGGCACACGTACATGGTGTGCACAGCAGCTGTTGTGTGTCCAGGTGAGCTGGTGTGCTTCTAGGCAAGCTGGCACACTCTGCCTTTCCCAGCTCCAGGATAGTGCATCTGACTTCAGCATGGTCCCAGCTCTACAGATTGCCTGGGTTGGAGAGGATGTGGTCACAGGTGGGCGGGCCTGGCCTTGGCTCTGCTGGGGGGCTCTGTCTCTACCTCACCCCTCCCCTGGGGTTGGCTTGTCCTGCCTATTCTAAATGTCTGTGTGTTCTCAGATGGTCGTGTTTTTCTTTTGCTGCTGTTTGGTTTGGAGTTGTCATTTTACCTTTTCTGTGACTGGGAAGGAACATCTGTCATCTGCCTGCTCTGGCCCTGCATTAATCTAGTGGTGGCTGCAAAACCCCCACTGAGACTTCTGAGTGCCACCAGCTCTCATCTTGGCCAGAGCTCATGCCCTAGCTGGGAATGTGGAGTGGAAATCCATCTGGGACCCAGGGGTTGACTGTGCCTAGGAAGGGGAGTTCTGATTGGGCTCCTTACCCAGGACTGGGTGCTGGGACTCCAGTCTTGCTGGCCTGGGCGGTGCTACCACCTTTTTACTAATTTAGGCGGAATGTCCTCCCACTGCTGGGAAAGCTTAGTTCAACCTGTACCTAAGGTAGATTCTACTAATTTTCCTTGTCTAATTTTTCCTTTCAGACATTTGATGCAAATGATTTGTACCAGGGGCAGAATTTTAACAAGGTCCTCAGTTCCCTAGTGACTCTAAATAAAGTAACAGCAGGTAAGCTCTTTTTATTGAATTTGAGGGGGTGGGAAGACAAAAGGGCAGAAACCTCTGGTTTTCTGTTATGGCCAAATGAGCATTATTAATTGAAAAAATAAGTCTTTTAAAAAAGTTAAAAATAGGCATTCAGTTTTGATTGTTCATTTTGCTGTGTGTATGTGTGTGTGTTTTTTTTTTTCCCTTATTAGAGCAGAACCTTCCTCTTCAGGTCCTTTGTGGATATGTATATAGGGCAGGGAGATGTCTCTCCTGAAAGTATAGCAGAGAAAAAGGGTTGGAAAGGCTGGTGGGTTGTTCTGGAGCCAGTACCACCCGTTTCCAGGTTTTTATGGGTTTGTGTTGACTAAAGCTTGTGTTTAGTGAGCAGTGGCCACAACAGAGGCGTGGTGGGTAGATTGGGCTGCACAGCTACGCCTTGCTTGCCCAGCTCTCCTGGGGCTGATAGGCGCCCGGCAGGGGGTTTGTGTGGTCTAGCCCAGTTCTCCTATTGTAGAGCGGAGGGATGCAGTATGCCCCTCTGATCCTCTTGTGGGCTCTCAGACTGTGGCAAGGACGTGTACGGCTCAGGAAGGAGGGCTTCTTAGTTGCTCTTTTGTTTCAAATTTTCTTTTTTAAATTTATCTTTATGGATTTTAAGTTTGAGATTTATGGGGGAAAATGAGATGGCCCTTATCTTAAGTTTACCTGATGAGGCTGGGAACTGTCCTCTAGGCAGGGACTGTCCTTGGCACCACCCAGCACACACCTGCTCTGATTTCTGTCTGGGAGCTGCTCCTCGGCTGGTCCCTGGGGCAAGGAGCGCCAGCCCTCACTGCTGGGACCGGATGGAGCCCCCGGGGAGGTTTGGATGAGCTGCATTTTCATAGCCTGACTCCTCAGGTTCGAAGTTGCAAATCTCTTGTGGCTATTCAGATCAAAGTGTCTCAGAGACAGATGTGTAAAGGGAAGGAATAGAACGATGAATAGAAATAATTGAAATTGTCATGTCGTTTAATGATGTTTTGCAAAAGAGTGTTTATGGCCTTTTATAAAGGTGATTGATTAGACAATGAAGCTGCCTTCTCTAATTCTACATGATGAAATGATAGCTTGAGTATGGTAAGGAAGAAAACTACTTAAAGTTATAGGTGATGGAGAAAGGGAGACATGCTTAGCGCAGACGGCACTGGAATTCAGCACGGGAAAGCTGCTGTGCCATCCCGCTTGCAGGGTTGGGTGCTTAGTGTGCCCGTGAGCCGCTGGTGTTCCTCTCGGCCTGGAATGATGTGTTGTCCAATCAGTGCAGGTCTCTGGTAGACAGGGATAGATGAGTAAAGCCACAACCAGTCCCTGATGTGGTCCCTCTGCTCAGCTGAACACTTCTCCAGGGTGCTCATGGAGTGGGGAATGCCAGCCTGACTTGGGGGAGGGGCTTTCTCTGCCTGGAGGTTCAGTGCAGGTGCTGATAGGAAGGAGCGGGGAAGGGCTGGTTCCTGCCCTCAGTCAGGCGCTCAGTAATCAGGGCCCAAGTGCTGAGGTTTACAGGTAAATAGCAGAGCTGGAAGGAAGCTGGATCCAGTAGCTCTTGGGCACAGATCACCATCACTACTCTTTTTTTTTTGTTTTTTAAACCTCCACCTTATGAAAGGTATTTCTCATATTCTTTATTTTTTGAGATGGAGCCTCAAGCTATCCCCCGGGCAGAGTGCTGTGGCATCACAGCTCACAACAACCTCTAACTCCTGGGTTCAAGCGAGTCTTCTGCCTCTGCCTCCTGAGTAGCTGGGACCACAGGCACCTGCCACAACACCCGGCTATTTAATGATTGCAGCCATCATTGTTATTTGGCGGCCCGGGCTGGATTTGAACCCTCCACCTTAGGTGTATGTGGCTAGCGCCTTAGCCGCTTGAGGGCGAGCCTCATATTCTTGATATCATTGGCTGCACATTGGATGTAAAATAAGTGGTATTGTTCTTTACAAAGACTGATTTGGAACTTGGCATTTTCTAGCTTTTAAACACTGAGTGACCCTTCTGAGAAGGAACTTTCACTTTCCTGTTTTTTGGCTGCCAGTCTTGAGCTCTTGTTCTTGGAGTCAGTGTGTTGGAAATGACTGCTCTTAGATTTCTCCTTTACGTCCTCGCCAGATGACAGGCTGCTGTCAGAGATGCTTTGGGCATTCTTGGGAAATCCTGTGCTCATCTTCCTATGCTGTGTCACTAAGAGAAAACCACGTGTGTTCCAAGGCACTTGGATACATTAGCTGGACAGAAGAAGGCCTGGTCAGGCCTGGTGATGAGCGTGTCCGCAGGATTCCTGGGCTGGGCACTGCAGGCGACACAGGCTGCCCCTGTGGGCAAAGTCTGCAGGCAGTGCCCTTCGTGTTCTCCAGTAGGACATGCTCTGGGGACTCCTTGTAGCCCTGAGTGGGACCTCATAGGACTGGGTGCTGAGGGTGAGCCGAAAGGGATTTGAGACTGCGGGGACAGCAGGCTGGCCGTAGGACAGGGCTATCATGTGTTGCTTTCTGTGGAGCCACGCAGGGGCACAAAGGAAGGCCCAGGACTGAAGGGCGAGGACACCTTGCCCAGCTTGGATCCAGCTGTGCTGCAGAGCAGTTTAGCTGGTGCTGCTGCGTCCTGAGTATACAGGGACTCCTGGGGACCTGGCTTTTCCTGTGCTGTCTCAGACTGTTAGATGTTGACAGTTAATTCAAAATGTTATGAGACGCTGTGAGCCATCTAAACAGATCTTCCAGAAAAATGGGAGCTACAGAGAGACCCTCAGGTTCGAGGTGCTTTTCTATAACAGCAGGCTTCCTGTGAGCTGTAGGACAGGGCTGAGAATCTTGCAACAGCAGTTTCCCTAGAAATTGAATCACTTCTAAGAATAGGACGGTCACTTGTTAATGGGCCTGAGTGGAGTGTCTGCCACGCAGGGTCTCAGTAGAAAAAAACCTTTCACATCTGTTTATGTTGATCCTTTCAGCTACTTGCTGAGGTGAGTGGAGCCTGTGCTGCCATAATTTTGAGGAAATAATTCTCAGAAGGTTCTGTCTGGCTGAAAAATACATAGGGATTTTCTTTTGTTTTATGTAAGAGTCTTTTGTTCCAAAAAAGTCTTGCTACTCATGGCATGACACAGAACCTAGAAAGTGGTGATGTGCCCAGAGTGAGTGCTTACCTGTTCTCTGCTACGTAATTGAGTTGGAGAGGCTGTTTTTCCTGGGTAAATGGAAGGTATTAAAGACCATTTTAAAACATTTCATAAACTTCTAAAAAATTATGCTAGAAAACAACAGATTAATAGTTACCTCCAGATAATTTCTGGCAGGTGATCGGAATGAATGCACATTATTTACATAGCAGACAAAGAATTTGTTCTTTGTTTACTGTATAAATGGCCTGCTTTGTTGTGGTCTCTGCTGTGTCCCTCTGTGCTGCCCTAGTTCTGAAGTCTAGTGTGTGGCCAGAGTCCTAGTGTCGCGTCTTCAGCTCTCTCTTCTGTGTGACCTTTCCAGACATCGGGCTAGGGAGTGATTCTGTGTGTGCTCGGCCCCCATCTCATCGAATAAAGTCTTTTGATTCTCTGGGATCACAGTCTCTACACAGCCGGACTTCAAAATTGCTCCAGGGCCAGTATCGAAGTTTGGTAAGTTCAAGAGATTTTGTTATTTAAGTTCAGATCTGTGTGGGATGTGTGTACAGATATGTCTGGAAAGGCACATATGCCTCTATTGACAGAGTGCTAAACAGGCAGCATCGATCCTGTCATCTGGTTTGGCATTTGCTCATTACTGAATTATCCGGATACGAAGCTGGATGAGCACTTTTGAAAAACTTGTTAAGTTTCACAACTTTATGACTTCGTTTGTCTGGAAAGATACATAAGTTAAAATACTGCCCTGCTCACTTGCATTCTGTTCTCTGCAGTGCACACGTGTACAGAAATATATGTAAGTCAGAGTACTTAGCTGCACAAAGAAGAGATGGTTAAAACGAAAGAAAGGGCTAGTGGCTTTTTTATCTTCATGGAAGTGTGGCTCAGAATGGGTACTAAGTCAGATGCTTACACATGTAGCTCACAGAGGAGGGAGTTGGCTGGTGACTTGGGAAAGGAAACTTAGATAAGCAGTCATCCTGGAACAAGAAAAATCCCTTAAGGCTCAGGACCCAGGTTCTTGAGGGATAGAACGTAGAAAATGGCAGTGGCGTTGGGGATGAAGAGTCGGGGCTAGCTGGAGCCAGTGTGGGGGAGGCCCTCATGGCCACACACCCTGCCTGTCACCCTCTGGGCCCATGGCGGGGTGGCAGTCGTTCTGAACAGACGCCAGGGACACAGCTTTTCTTCCACGCAGCATCTTAGATTTTTTATTTTACAGAGGATCTTCTGCTTTAACACAGAAGGGAATGTTGCTAGGTAAGCTCATGGTTGTCCTTGAGAAATAAAAGATCTGATAGACTTAGGTTGTATAGGGAAATAGATTTGAGGTAGTTTGCAAAGCAGTGTTGAAAACTGGAAGATAAGGAAGGAATGTGTTTTCTTATGTTCCTGAGCTTTGTGAACTCAGAGCTCTCACTGCTGTGTCTGTCCCTTGGGGAGGGGCCCCTACCTGGTCTGCCCTGTGCACAGCCAGCTCTGGCTCCCACCTCCACGTGGGCCTCCTCTGTGGACAAGTTCAGTGCTGAAGGAATTTTGTGGAGTACCATGGGGGACATTATGATTCCACATTAAGGTGAAATATGTGGAGCACTTTAAACAGATCTTAAGTTAGCTTTATATGGCATGTGAGGAAAACAGAAATCAGCACCCTCTGGGGAGGGTGTATTTGCTGCTGCTTTGCCTGTGCCAGTCTCCATCTGATTTTTTCTTTTTGAGTAAAGGAGGACTGAATTACAAATGTATAATTTTAAGTAAAATAGTGTAGTATTGATAATGAGTATTGCTGAGATTATAAAAGTATACGATTTTTCATTAGCTAGAGAGATTTTAGGTTACACTAAAAAATAGGCTTTCTCTAGCCCATGTGACGTTTTTCTGTGGCTGTGATGGGTCTTTATTGGCTGCTACTGAGCTGATTTCCCCTTTCTGGGACATGACAGTACTTTTCTTACTGTGCCAGGAAAGAGCAACTACTTTGCCATTGGATTCATTTTTTTTTTTTTTTGTATGTAGCTTAATCACAGCACTTTGAGGGATCTTTCTGAGATTAAAAATTATAATACACGGATGGCGAATTGCTTGTTTAAATCTAGGTGGTGGGTACAGGGCCACCTGCTATTCTCTGCTTTCGCGTTTAAAAGTTTTCATAACAAGTTAAGCTAAAGGGACAACTTGTAGTTTCTGGTATGTCAGTTTTTGTGATCTCATTAAAATGAAGCTTAGCTTTGAAATTGTGTAGAATGCTCCCATCCCTCAGAGAGGCTTAGTATTTTAGTGGTGCTGTTGTCAGTTCCTTTGCTCACTCACGTTGCCTGTTCATCACCTGCTTCACTTTCAGTTTAAGAATGTCTCACCTGACTGCACCTTAGTTACTAGTTGTTCTCATAAACTTGCTTTTAATTTGTGCAACTTGGCGTCTCTCTGTTCCAGGACAGATGTCGTGCCTGGGGATAGAGGCAGATTTGAATAGTTTTGATGTTTTCTTTATTGCTTCATTTGGACTTTCTGTATCTGGGTATCTCTCTGTTGTTGCCCAGTAGTTCCCTTCTGTGGCAGATTCCTTCTCCCTTTCAGATGCCTGGAACTAAACTGAGCTCTCTATTCCACTCTGCTCTGTACTGTGCCCCTACCCACAGGAAGGGAGATGTGGCAGACCCAGCTGTGGATGTGGGTATAGTTTTTCTATGGATAAGGTTTGATTTCATACTTCTTTTTTACTCAAAAGAACTTTTTTCGATATTCCTGGAATTCCTGGTAATCACTGCTGTGCCCACAGTCTTTCATCTGTTGACTGTGAGGCAGTTGTCTCTGCCGTCCTTCATTTCTGGGACAGGTGGCTTGATCTCTTAAAATGTTTCCTGGCCCTGGATCTCCCACTACTTCCAGGGGCCTGGACATGTGGCACTATCCTCGTGCTGGCAAGTAACCTTGCTTTGCAACCAGTTCACAAAATAGACTTCCAAAGCATGCAAGAAATTGTACCAAAATGTATTACACATATTTCTTAACTCTTTCCAGTTCCTTTGTTCAATAAACATGGAAAACATTGAGCATCTTCAATGTGCCATATTTTATCAATTTGAAGGCCTTTTTCCTTTTAAACATTTGCCCTCATCGGAGAGTGGCATGTGCCTTACAGTTGATGGTTGTGCCATAACTTCAGGGACAGTACTTAGTGGGATATTAGATAATGGGGCATT